TCTAAATAACATTCATTCAAAATTGCAACATCCTGTGAAACTTAAATTGCAAGGCCTTTTGAATTCACTAGATAAGTAATACACAAGTTTAAGAAAAATAAGGCTTTCTTTTTACCTGTAAAACACACATGTACCGAGGTAATTAAACCTTATTAAAGTGCTTCTTGTATGCCATGTCTTTAATTTTGACAAAAATTATTTAAATTTAATTGAAATAAATTTTTACTGTAACTTTGGAACACATTTCCTTTTTTAAAGTTTATCACAGGATTACTATGGAAGTTCTATTATCATGATAATATTAAATTCTTGGTTTAATAAAACAAAGGTGTCATTTTTTAAATTTATTAAGTTGCTTTATATGCTATTTTATATATATTTTAATAAAAAAAATGTTCACTGCATTATTATTTTAACTCGACTGACACCATAAATCTATACGAGGCTTAAGTTAATGGTGAAAATTGTCCAGTAACCATAAAATATATCTGAAACATTCAAAAAATTTTGAATAACATTGAAAATATTAGTCACAATTCAGTTTTGAGATTATTTGATCAGCTTTTTTTATTTTTATTTTAAAGGTGATATATATGTATGTATATAAGTGTTGATGAATATGGTGATGAAGTTATATTATGTTTATTGTGAAATTTTGGTTTCAATGCTATATTGAATACATTTTTAATTTCAAATTGTTGTTCAAATTTCTAGCCAGGGGAAATAGCTGTTGTTAAAAACAGTTCCTAAAGTGGTGAAATACAATAGATAGATACAAAAAAAGGTCTAGGTTGGTTAAGACTTGGTCGAGTATGGTTCAGACTAGGTCGAGTATGGTTCAGACTAGGTCGAGTATGGTTCAGACTAGGTCGACCATGGTTCAGACGCATATAAAATGGTTAAGTACTGGTCGAGTAAGGGTCGAGTACAAGTTCAGACTGTTAAGTATGGTTCAGACTACAGTCGAGTATTATCAAGTAAATTTCAGACCAATTCAGACCGGTCGAGTAAAAATCAGTACAGTCGAATACAGATATAGGCCATTTCAGACTTTTACTTGTTTGTAGTGTACATCATCCCAAAAATAAGCATAAAGAGTATTATGATTTTTTTTAAATCTAAGGTTTAAAAACAACAAAACAAAGATTACACATTTACTGTTTGTATAAACAGTAATGATCAAAAACTATAATATATCTAAATAACATTATCAAGATATTTAAAAAAATAGTTACCTTAAAGAGGTTTTTTTAATTACCAAAACATTTTTTGGGGGGGGGGGGGAAATTACTCAAAGGAGTTATTTAAAATTTCAATAAAAACATGGGCTACATGAACATTGTTGAGGTTGAAATGAGCGTTTTCATTATTTTATACAAAAAAAAAAAAATAGATCTTACTTTGCTTAACATTTTTGCCCTAACAGTTTATCTCTATCTATAATAAAATTAAGAGAAGTATACAGATGTAAAACATTAATTTTAAAAAATTACAAAAATATAACTTATTTCAGTTATTTTTCAAAATAATTCCTTCATGATTTCTATAAAAGAACAAGAGGCTCTCAAGAGCCTGAATCGCTCACCTGTAATTTTTTGCTTAAATCTTTCATCAATAATGAAATGCTATGTTCTATTCTTAGCCATGGGGACCATGTTTCCTGAGGTAACAGAAAATAAAACACAAACGTTATACTAGTTACCCTTTAGAATTATTCAGCTTAAGTTTGATTGATTTTGTTTTGGTAGTTTCAGAAGATTTTTATTTAAGTGGGCAGCAAACATGAGGATAAAATTTTGAAAATTGTCATTAAAGGGCAATAAGTCTTTAAGGGGTCTATTGACAATTTTGGTCATTTACGTTATTTGTAGATCTTACTTTGCTTAACATTTTTGCCCTAACAGTTTATCTCTATCTATTATAATATTCAAGATAATAACCAAAAACTGAAAAATTACCAAATTACCAAATTAGTGGCAGCAACCTAATAATGGGTTGTTCAATTTGTCTTATAATTTCAGGGCTGATAAATCTTGACATAATAAACACTTATAAAAAATTAAAGTTCTTATTCATAGTTTTTAAAAATGAGAGAGAATTGAAAATTGTTTGAAATCAAATCAGAGATTTTGCTCAATAACAAAAAATCCTGACCTGAAATTGTTAAAAGGAAAAACAAATGTTATAACAGAAAACACTACTAACATTTCAACAGTTTTTTAAAAGACCCTGAGATGTATCACAACATATTTTAACTTTCACAAAACGAGAAACAAAGCCCTCCCATAAGTATCCTACCATTGCCTACATCCAAAATCATAACGAATGACATAAACACTACTTTAGATTTATACAGCAAATCAAAGGGTCCTCAAAATATTAAGATGTATTAAAAAACTGAGATTGTAGCAAGAAACCATGCACACCCGTTTCTGCATCCACAACAAATGACATTAAAACCTTTTCTATACACAAAATCACTTATCTAGTCAAACATAATAGCTATATATCTAAAAAGTATAAAAACAAGAAACATATTCTATAAAACTTGCATATCATAATGGTCATACATATAAACTACAACAAAAATATGTAAAATCGTACTAAAAACATGGATATCATGCAGATTGAATAAGCAACACATTCAAAACTTGTTCAATGCTCATAGAACAGTGAACTAGGGGCCAAAATCATAACAAATGACATAAATCACTACTTTACATTAACACAACCAATAAAACAGACCCTGAGATCAAACTTTTCTCTTTAACAACTTCAGTCAGCTTGCATGTCTAGTAAAAAATAACAGTGTATACATCTTAAAAGTATATAGAAGACACAACATTTTCTATATAACTTGCACCTTCATCATGGTCATACATATAACTACAATAAAAAAAAAACATCGAAATAAAAACCTAGATTTCATGGAGATTGTATAAGTAACATTTTCAAAACTTGTTTCAAAAAGAAACCTGATAAAGTGAAATATCAACATCATAACAAATGACTTAATACCTACTTTACATTCATACCGCAAGTAAAAAAGAGGTTGAGATTAAACTTTTCTATAAACATCTTCACTTATCCATTAACAACTTCTATAAACAGCATCACTTATTCATTAACAAAATATAACTATATAACTTTAAACGTTTACAAAACATCTAACACATTACACTCATTGCACCATTAAAATAAACCAAGACTGTATACATGGTATAAGCAAGATTAAAATAATTTCAATGGACTGTATTGTTGGCTAAAATTTTCTAACCTGTTACATGATAGGACAGACAAAACCATTTACCAGAAAAGTAACTCAACAGAGTTATATAAAATTTTAAGAAAATCATGGGCTGCATGACATTGGTGGATTTAATGAATTGTATATCTTGTTTGAAACAACATGATCAAAACAAAGTTATTTAATTTCAATATCATTTATCTGTTTATAGAAAATATTTATACAATTGAACTGTCAAAAAAACTAACCTACTCTCTGCTTAAGTACAAAATACTTGAACTTATAACTGTAAAAATGGATAATAAAATATAATAACATTAAAATCTTCTTCATATTCATACAGCATATAAACATGATAAGGACCCTGAGATTGTATAGCAACATATTTCAACTTTCTCTCTCTAAAAATGAGAAATAACACTCCCACTTAACTATCCTACATCCCAAATCATTGCAAATGACATAAAACCTACTTTATATTCATACAGCAAATTAAAATACCCTGGGATAAAACTTTTCTTTGAACAACATCACCTAAACACAAGGGTAAAAATTGACACTGGGACAGGACAAAACAAATTTTTGTCTGACTAGATTTTGTCAGCTGTGGGTCTGGCTGACCAGTAAAAAATTGTTGATAAAAAGCTTAAATTCGACCCTGCTTAGACATCATGAACATTGACAAAAAAAGCTATATAACTAAAAAGGTACAAAAGACTAAAATAAACTGATAAAGTCAACATGTTTCTTCATTGAGGTTTGGGAAAAACATTTTTATGGACCTCCTTTTCTGTACCTTTTCTGGAGGGTCCATTTGCTTCAAAATCTTAGTTTCTGCTATATTACATATGTCAGGTATTTCTGGCTAATTAAAGAGATTTTCCTCTACTCTCTTCAAGCATTTTACTTTGTAGAGGGGTTCATCATCTTCCCCTTTTGCCAATTCTAAAATCTAAAAAAATAAGAATAAAATATAAAGTACATGTAGTATTAATTGCTGGTGCATATTGACATAGCAGTCACAAGCAACACGTGTAGAACTCATTATATATAAATTGAAAATATTTCTTGCAATTGTTAAGCCTTTACCATGTTAATCAATGTTTACTGTACGATTAAGCATTGACCAGCATGTGTTTTCTTGAATTATCAACATATTTCTTAAGTGAACTGACTTCTGAGAGTAGCATATATTCAGAAAATTCAGTTCTAATTTCTGTTAACACATGAGTACAGGAAAACATCTTTTCTAAGTAGATAACATTTTATCATGCAGAACACCGCATCATACAAATATTCTTTAGTAGAAGTGGACAAATCCTCAAAAATACTTGCCTCTGCTATGTATTTTCTTTTCTTGCTGCTTTTCACCAGGTCGAATTCAACTAGTGAAAAATCACCTGAAAAGATCAAATTGCAGTTATCTATTACTGTAAAGGGCAAGGCACAAAAACAATTGGTAGCCCAAGAATAAAGATGCTTTTTCAGCTTTGCACCAGTTTATTTTATACCTTTCTAGTTCGAACATTTATTATGTCCTTTATACATTGTGTGTAAGACTACCCTTTTCTTGCAAATTAGATTCCACTGAAACTTTCACATTTCAGACTTGAAATATATAGGGTATAATACTAATCAACTCCTGCTACAAATACATATAAAAGGTACCAGGCTTATAATTTATATTACGCTAGACGTGGATTTCGTCTATTAAAGACTCATCAGTGACGCTCGAATCGAAAAATATACATACCTATCTTAAATGCATAAGTATTTTTCACCACTTCTATACCATCCTGAAAAACAATGAACTCATTTCTATAATTAATTAGAAGTCTTTTTCCTAAACATGATAAACGTCTTTCAAGTAATAAATTTCAGTAATTGGTAAATATTGGTCATCCTGTTCATGTTTCACTTGATAGTAATGATTTTTCAATCATTAATCAGGCTCAAGAATTTTTGATTAATTTGATAGGAATTCCATGGTATTGTTATTTATGCACATGTTGACCTAATTATGGTAATTGTTAAATAATTTTTTAATAGCTATTCATTTAATGCCATCTAATGCCTATATTTCACTCATCTCGACAAAAGGAGTCGTGAGTACTTCATGAAAGAATCAGTTCCTATAAAAATTGTCTATTTAAAACATTGGTAATGGTAAAATCATGTTTGGTCAACTCCTTCGAATTCATTCAATACTCATCTTAAAACTGACACATTAAGAATTTTAGTCCATTGATGAAGACCTTCCAGCATTTGCTCGCTTTTCACTTAAAGATTTGACAGTAATGTACAGGTTTTAGTAATTCAAGTAAAACAACAATACAATAAACTGTAAATATGAAGCAGGCAAATCTCAACATTCTGATGAAGTGTGCCTTTTTATGATTTTCTAGTGGTGTTTAAATTAAGATTAAACCATGCTTAGCTATCGGTTACTAGACCTGCTGTCAACCTCGGTGAGGTAGGGAAACTATGGTGTTTGATTATCTTCATGCATTGCATGCATTTATAAGAAAATGAATTAGAAAAAAAAAGGAAAAACAAATTTGCTGTTGTTATTTCTGAAAAATATACCATGCACATGTTAAATCTACCATCTATAGCAAAAAAACATGAGCAGAAAAACCAACTACCTTGTCTGGGACCTCCATCAACTCAGAGGCCAAAGCTGTTAGAAACGGTGATTCACTATTCAACAATAAAATAACCTAATATTAACATGTTTTATAAAATATAGAAATGCCAAATTTATTACATGGGGTTGCTTGAAATGTTTTCAGCTCTGAGGGTATCACCAGCCCAGTAGTCAACACTTTGGTGTTGGCATGAAATATCAATGATGTTTTTTTTTTTTTTATATAAATTTACTGTTTGAAAAACATAGAATTATTATAAATACTAAGGATTTTGTACCTCTAGACACATGTTACCTTAGCCGTTTTTGGCACAACTTATTGAATTTTTGGTCCTCAATGCTTTTATTTAGCCTTACAATTATTTTGATTTGAGCATCACTGATGAGTCTTGTATAGACAAAACACACATCAGGTGTAGGAAAAATTAAATGCCTGGTAACTCTGATAAGTATTGTATCAATTTAAATTGGAAAATGTATGACAGCTAGAAAGAATGAAATGTTAACTCTTAAGACAATGCAAGACATTCTTCATTTGGTAAATAAAACGTTCAAAAACACATTCTTGATATTAAAGCTCCTTTCCTTATGCTGAAGCCTGTAATAAACAGGAACAGTTAAATTCGAACACAGTGCAATATTGAAAACAGTGAAACAACAATACAATAAATATATATAATGGGTTGATAATTCAATGTCATCTATGTTTGCACAACATTCTCAAGTGAACAGAAAATTTATTAACATATGATCAATAAAATAATTCTATTATTTTACCTCAACAAGGAACTATCCAGAGGGTAAAGTGGACTCATCTCATCTTCACTATTATAACCATAACTGCCATGAAAACTAAAAAAAAAGAATAAACTCAATAATTTTGTAAACTTTATAAAAAACAAAATGCTCTCAAGAGCCTGAACATCCTGAATCTCTCGCCTGTAGGTTTTTGCTTAAATCTTTCATCAATGATTATTTTTGCTTTTCAATGTATATAAATATACTTACAAATGCCATTTAAGTGTTCTTTGTACATGTATCTGTCATATTTTCTTCTATGTTCTATTTTAGCCATACATGCCATGGTCTTTATTTTTAGCAGTTTTTGAGATATAAGCCTAAAACTGCTTTTTACATCTTTGCCATGGTGGCCATAGTTTTGGACTTAACAGAAAATAAAACATAAACTTTAAAGATACCCTCTAGATCCTTCAGCTTAAGTTTGGTTTGAATTGGTTGAGTTGTTTCAGAAGAGAAGATCTTTGAAATAGTTTACACCAGATGACGGACCATGACGACAAACGCCAAGTAATGGCAAGAGCTCACATTTCCTTTCAGGGAAAGGTGAGCTAAAAATCAATTCAAGCAAGAAAATAAACAGCCTGATTTAAGGAAAAATAATAAATAAAAATTTGGATTAAGATAACAAAGACAACCGCTATGTCAAAAAAATGGTCATTACTGTTTTATTGATTTACAAACCTATCATCTATAACCATGTCCTCATCTTCAAATAGTTTCTTTTGACATTCTAGTCTACAAAAAATAAGTATTAACATGTAGTATTGTACTAAAAGCATTTTATCCTGCCAGCAACCTTTCTACTATACAAATAAAGGTGAACAAATAACAGAAGCATTGAACATATACTGGTATCAGTTTTCTGTTGCAAGCTGTTATGTTAAAGCTCAGTTCAATCTGGATTCCACATTTAATACATATGTATGCCGTTTCAACTTTTATTAAATGAACAATATCAACTTTTATGTGTAAATTGTAAGATACAAACAAAGGATAATAAGAATAATAACTGATATAAGTTACATTCTAAGCCAATTTTTAACATAACTTATATAGGTAATTTTAAAAGTTACTTTTTAAGTAATGCTCTTTTTCTTGTCAATCAGATTTATTTAAAGATTGATCTTAATCTTCACTTTCATCTCTCAATACCAGATATTGATTAATTAATATTGATTTGATTAATTGCATTTTATCAGCCAGTGGTTACCTAAACAAGTTATATATTTTTTAAATTACTTAAACAGGTAATTTTTAAGAAAAGTTACTCTCAAGAGAATAATATTAAATTTCAATTGAAACAAAGGTTACAGAAACAGTGATGAGTTTTAAAAAAAAAAGAGTCTTTACATTCTTCTAAAACATAAATAAAGAGACCATTGTTTTGAAGACAACCTTTAATCAATCTACACATCAGTGTGCTTCTTTCTTAAAAGGTTTAAATCATTTCCCCAATACCAGATATTTATTAATTGCATTTAAGTATCACGACTTACCCTGATTCATTTAAAGGATGCTGCTCTTCATCTTCTTTGTCATTATTGTCATGTGGCCTAAAATTAAATATATGCAATTACTCCACTTTCCTTCAAAATGAAGTCATTTAATAAATTCTTTATTTTCCTTCACCGTACAAATATTGTGAAGTACTTGTTAATTATTTGATGTTAACTATCAGCAGGATGAAGTCAACATTTTAATCAGCCAGTGGTTACCTAAACAAGTTATATTTTATTTTAATTACCTAAACAGTTATTTTTTGGGAGATGACTTCATAAGTTTGTTTTAACTTGGGTCGCATCGCTTTTGTATATCAAACAAATAAAATATGTTTAAACTGGGGCACTAGCTGTCAAATGTATGTTCACCGATTTGACTGAAACTCTCATAATAAAATTTACTAGGAGGACCTCGATCAACACATGATCAAGTCAACATTTTTCATCAGCCAAGGGTTACCTAAAAAGGTATATATTTTTCTAATTACCTAAACAGGTAATTTTTAAATGTGCTTCTTTCTTAAAAGGTTTAAATCATTTCCCCAATACCAGATATTTATTAATTGCATTTAAGTATCACGACTTACCCCGATTCCTTTAAAGGATGCTGCTCTTCATCTTCTTTGTCATCATTGTCATGTGGTCTAAAATTAAATATATGCAATTACTACACTTTCCTTCAAAATGTAGTCATTTAATAAATTCTTTATTTTCCTTCACCCTACAAATATTGTTAAGTACTTGTTAATTATTTGATGTTAACTATGAGCAGGATGAAGTCAACATTTTAATCAGCAGTGGTTACCTAAACAAGTTTTATTCTTTTTTAATAACCTAAACAGGTATTTTTTGGGAGACTACTTCATAAGTTTGTTTTAACTTGGGTCGCATCCCTTTTGTATATTAAACAAATAAAATATGTTTAAACTGGGGCACCAGCTGTCGAATGTATGTTCACCGATTTGACTGAAACTCTCATAATAAAATTTACTACAAGAACCTCGATTAACACATGATCAAGTCAACATTTTAATCAGCCAAGGGTTACCTAAACAAGTAATATATTTTTCTAATTACCTAAACAGGTAATTTTTAAATGTGCTTCTTTCTTAAAAGGTTTATATCATTTCCCCAATACCAGATATTTATTAATTGCATTAAGTATCACAACTTACCCTGATTCATTTAAAGGATGCTGCTCTTCATCTTCTTTATCATTGTCATGTGGTCTAAAATTAAATATATGCAATTACTCCACTTTCCTTCAAAATGTAGTCATTTAATGAATTCTTTTTTTTCCTTCACCGTACAAATATTGTTAAGTACTTGTAAATTATTTGATGTTAACTATGAGCAGGATGAAGTCAACATTTTAATCAGCCAGTGGTTACCTAAACAAGTTATATTTTATTTTAATTACCTAAACAGGTATTTTTTGGGAGATGACTTCATAAGTTTGTTTTAACTTGGGTCGCATCCCTTTTGTATATTAAACAAATAAAATATGTTTAAACTGGGGCACTAGCTGTCGAATGTATGTTCACCGATTTGACTGAAACTCTCATAATAAAATTTACTAGGAGTAACTCGATCAACACATGATCAAGTCAACATTTTTCATCAGCCAATGGTTACCTAAACAAGTTATATATTTTTCTAATTACCTAAACAGGTAATTTTTAAATGTGCTTCTTTCTTAAAAGGTTTAAATCATTTCCCCAATACCAGATATTTATTAATTGCATTTAAGTATCACGACCTACCTCGATTCCTTTAAAGGATGCTGCTCTTCATCTTCTTTGTCATCATTGTCATGTGGTCTAAAATTAAATATATGCAATTACTCCACTTTCCTTCAAAATGAAGTCATTTAATAAATTCTTTATTTTCCTTCACCGTACAAATATTGTTAAGTACTTGTAAATTATTTGATGTTAACTATGAGTAGGATGAAGTCAACATTTTAATCAGCCAGTGGTTACCTAAACAAGTTTTTTTTTTTTTTTTTAATTACCTAAACAGGTATTTTTTGGGAGACGACTTCATAAGTTTGTTTTAACTTGTGTTTCATCCCTTTTAATTTGTATATTAAACAAATAAAATATGTTTAAACTGGGGCACTAGCTGTCAAATGTATGTTCACCGATTTAACTGAAACTCTCATAATAAAATTTACTACGAGGACCTCGATCAACACATGATCAAGTCAACATTTTAATCAGCCAAGGGTTACCTAAACAAGTTATATATTTTTCTAATTACCTAAACAGGTAATTTTTAAATGTGCTTCTTTCTTAAAAGGTTTAAATCATTTCCCCAATACCAGATATTTATTAATTGCATTTAAGTATCACGACTTACCCCGATTCATTTAAAGGATGCTGCTCTTCATCTTCTTTGTCATCATTGTCATGTGGTCTAAAATTAAATATATGCAATTACTCCACTTTCCTTCAAAATGATGTCATTTAATAAATTCTTTATTTTCCTTCACCGTACAAATATTGTTAAGTACTTGTAAATTATTTGATGTTAACTATGAGCAGGATGAAGTCAACATTTTAATCAGCCAGTGGTTACCTAAACAAGTTATATTTTATTTTAATTACCTAAACAGGTATTTTCTTATGGAGACGACTTCATAAATTTGTTTTAACTTGGGTCGCATCCCTTTTGTATATTAAACAAATAAAATATGTTTAGACTGGGGCACTAGCTGTCAAATTCATGTTCACCGATTTGACTGAAACTCTCATGATAAAATTTACTACGAGGACCTCAATCAACACATGATCAAGTCAACATTTTTATCAGCCATGGGTTACCTAAACAAGTCATATATTTGTTTAATTACCTAAACAGGTAATTTTTAAAGTTACTCTCAAGAGATTAATATTAAATTTCAATGGAACCAAAGGTTACAGAAACAGTGATGAGTTTAAAAAAAAAAGTCTTTACATTCTTTTAAAACATAAATAAAGTGACCATTGTTTTGAAGACAACCTTTAATCAATCTACACTTCAATGTGCTTCTTTTTTTCATTTTTGTTAGATGTTTCTTTTGTATTAGAAACATAAAAACAATACTTACGATTCACATCGTCTTTTTTTTCCATTTTCTCCCACTTCAATTTGTTGGAGCACCACTTCCTCTATTAAATCTACAAATGTAATACTTTTTACTTTTGCATTTAAATAATTTACGCTCAATGTTTATTAAAAACAATGGATAAAACATTAGTCCTTAATCATGTTAATTTGGAATGTCCCTTATTGTTTATAAAAAAAGAAGTTCATGTTATAATAAAATGACAAGTTGCTTACATCTATACTTTTGCAGATCACTTTAGCATACAGAGGCATTGAACTTCAGCAAAGGCCACACCCTTTAGTATGACCATCAAATTTAAGCGTCCCAATCGAACTAAAAAAAAGAAGAGTCCTACATTTTTATATCTACCTTCAAGATTTGAGCTAAAAAGGAGAAAATTGATTAATTGTGTGATTTTTCAAGGTCTAGGGATCATAATCTGCAAAATATCATCAAACCAGAACAAAATTTAAACTTGATCTGAAACTTGTCAGACATGGGTAACCTATAAAACCAAATATCAATATAATATCTTAAAGTGTGACGAAAAATCTGTAACTTGTCATGGTTAACCTATAAACCAAAAAGTCCAAGGACCATAATGGCAAAGAATCATCCAACGGGAACAAAATTTAAACTTGATCTGTAACTTGTCATGGTTAAACTATATGCCAAATATTATAAGTTATATGGTTTGCTACTGACCACCTACGGATCCATAGAGGGTTAGTAAAATCCATAGGGGGTGAGGCCGAAGGCCGAATCCCTTATGGATTTTATTCACCCTCTATGGTCCGTAGGGGGTCAGTAGTGAACCGTATAACGAATTTATCGCACGTGGGACTTTTTCTGCAGCGTTTTGTAGAAAAATAAACAATAAAATACAGCAACATCAATAGACGACGTCACCATTAACTGTAGACGTGACGTCATGAACCCACTATGAAATTTACTAACCCCCTACGGATCCATAGGGGGTCATCACGTGACGGCGTTAAACCAATCACAACGTAATAATTTACCTGTGGTGCGACATTTATGGTCGAAAAGCACAATTAGCGCATGGCGCACGTCCTTCCCAATCACTGCAGACGATATCGGATATGTTCCTTATGTTGTAACTACAATACCCTTCCATTTTCAGGAATGTGACTTACCGAATTAGACTATTTACCGGATTTATAATAACATAAGCAACACCACGGGTGCCACATGTGGAGCAGGATCTGCTTACCCTTCCGGAGCACCTGAGATCACCCCCAGTTTTTGGTGGGGTTCGTGTTGCTTAGTCTTTAGTTTTCTATGTTGTGTCATCTGTACTATTATTTGTCTGTTTGTCTTTTTATTTTTGGCCATGGCGTTGTCAGTTTGTTTTCGATCTATAAGTTTGACTGTCCCTCTGGTATCTTTCGTCCCTCTTTCAGATGGGTGGGTGGTATGAAAATCTATCAATTAATTTGAATTGGCCTTAGCTGTATACAGAGGCAGATTTAGAGGGAGCACCGCCGTCCCCTTTTTTGTGGGACAAATTTTGTTGCTTATATAGGGTAGTACTGGAGCAGGCTTGCATTTTTTTAATTGTAATCTCGGTCCTGCCTTTTTATTTTTCACTTTATTTGGTCCTGCCTTTATTTTAAAAGTTTATCCAGGTTTTTTTTGCCAAGTTGCTCATCCTGCCGTTTTTTTTTACTCGAAACTCCTGTCCTGCTATTTTTTTTACTCAAAAGTCCTATCCTGCCTTTTTTTTTAAATTTAATCCTAGCGCTCCCCCCCCCCCCCCCCCCCCCCCCAAAAAAAAAAAAGAAAAATTGGACCTTCCAAGTGTTAAAGGGTAAAACGGCAATTTACTCACTGTTTATATAAGAAATCTGTCAGTGTACTGTTTTGGTTCAAAGCATTGTGTATAAATTTCATAAAATTTGGACCCGCCAAAATAAAGTGCAGGAATGAAACACTAGAGGCTCTAAAGAGCCTGTGTCGCTCACCTTGGTCTATGTGCATATTAAACAAAGGACACAGGTGGATTCATGACAAAATTGTGTTTTGGTGATGGCGATGTGTTTGTAGATCTTACTTTACTGAACATTCTTGATGCTTACAATTATCTCTATCTATAATGAACTTGGCCCTGTAGTTTCAGTGGAAATTATTTTGTAAAAAATTTACAAAATTTATGAAAATTGTTAAAAATTTATTATAAAGGGCAATAACTCCTTAAGGGGTCAATTGACCATTTTGGTCATGTGACTTATTTGTAGGTCTTACTTTGCTGTACATTATTGCTCTTTACAGTTTATCTCTATCTATAATAATATTCAAGATAATAACCAAAAGCTGAAAAAATTTCTAAAAATTACCAATTCAGGGGCAGCAACCCAACAACGGGTTGCCTGAATGGTCTGAAAATTTAAGGGCAGATAGATCTTGACCTAATGAACAATTTTGTTTTTGAAAGATTTGCTAGAAATGCTTTGGGTTTAGATATATGAGCCAAAAACTGCATTTTACCCTATGTACTATTATTAGCCATGTCAGCCATCTTGGTTTGAGGGCGGGGTCATCAAACACACTTTTTAAACTACATACCCTAATGATGATTGTTTACAACTTAAGTTAAATTCATCTTAGTAGTTTCAGAGGAGAAGATTTTTGTAAAAGATAACAAAAATTTACGAAAAATTGTTAAAAATTGACTATAAAAGAGCAATAACTCCTTAAGGGGTCAACTGACCATTTTGGTCATGTTGACTTATTTGTAGAACTTACTTTGCTGAACATTATTGCTGTTTACAGTTTATCTCTATCTATAATAATATTCAAGATAATAACCAAATAAGGCAAAATTTCCTTAAAATTACTAATTCAGGGGCAGCAACCTAACAACGGGTTGTCCGATTCATCTGAAAATTTCAGGGCAGATAGATCTTGAGCTAATAAACATTTTTACTATTTGTCAGATTTGCTCTCAATACTTTGGTTTCAGAGATATAAGCCAAAATCTACATTTTATCCCTATGTTCTATTTTTAGCCATGGCGGCCATCTTGGTTAGTTGGCCGGGTCACCGGACACATTTTTTAAACTAGATACCCTAATGATGATATTGGCCAAGTTTGGTTAAATTTGGCCCAGTAGTTTCAGAGGAGAAGATTTTTGTAAAAGTTTACGGACGACGGACGCAGGACGACGGACGCCAAGTGATGAGAAAAGCTCACTTGGCCCTTTGGGCCAGGTGAGCTAAAAATGCAATTTTCCAAGTTATAAAGGGGCATAACTCTAGAATGGTAAATTAGTCACTACCAATATCCTCCCTGTCTGCATGTTGTGACTTTTAGCATTGTGTATGAGTTTCATAACAAACTTAAGTTAGATTGCGGAAATGAAAAAAAGAGTAACACTTAATGGCCCATTCGCCTTGCAGCAGGGGCATAAACACGGAAAAGGGTGGTAAATGGTTATTTTGATGCAACGCATTAAGCTATTTTCATTTCACTACTTCTGTGAAAAAAACTGATTATGTACCATGCTTTGTGAAATTGTTAAAAAAAAGCAACGTGCAAGTAAATTTTATTTTTAGTTCATCATGAAATGACAATAATATATCAATTTCTTCCATGCACATGATGATGTCATCACACACACACCCTTTTGCGACCCTCATTGATGCAAACTACATGCTACCATCAACCAAAAGCTAATATAAACATGGTTTTCCTTAGGATAAAATTTGTGTGCTTGATAAAGAACAGTTGAATAAAATCAAATATGAACTACAGCAAACCAAGGACCACGTAGTTATAAGCTGACTTGGAATATTCACTTCAAATGAAGGCTGCATTGCTGGGAGGTCAACTATTTGTTGGCACGGTGCCACCCAACCCTCTCCTATAATAACCTGGGACAGTAATATAATACAGCTTTATGAGCATGATGAGAGCAAACTTCATAAGTCTGGTGATAAAAAGCTTTACAACAGAATGTTAATTTCTTAATCAAAACTGTGCTTAAACCCCAACTAATTTACTTTAGTACAAAATGTAGCTTAATTTGAACAAAAGCATTGTTTTTTTTTGTAACTGATGCCCTACTCGCACTATCTTTTTTTTATGTTCAGTTGACCGTGAAATTGGGGTCAAAAACTCTAATTTGGCATTAAAATTAAAAATATCATATCATAGGGAACATGTGTACTAAGTTTCAAGTTGATTGGACTTCAACTTCATCAAAAACTACCTTGACCAAAAACTTTAACCCAACACGTGACAGACAGACGGACGAACAGATGCACAGACCAGAAAACATAATGCCCCTCTACTATTGTACATTTTTGTACATGTAGGTGGGGAATAAAAATTTGCACAGCATGTTTTTTTTTTTATAACTCAAACAGGTCATTCTTATATTTCAAAACATGAAAATTCAGCCACCTCTTGCAAAGGGTATTTTTTTTAAGAACTAGCTACAGTACTTGCAGAACTAACAATAAGAAATAACTACATGTATAGTTACTTCCAGGACTAATTGCCAAATTGTGTTTCTGGACAGGTAGCTGATTCAGGGGCAGATCCAGCCATTTTCAAAAGGGGGGTCCAGGGGCAGATCCAGCCATTTTCAAAAGGGAGGTTCCCAACCCAGGGTAAAGGGGGGTCCAAATATACATTCCGATACAAATGAATTGCTTGTCCAAAAAGGGGGTGGTGGCACCCTTGGATCCGCCACTGGAGTCCAACCTAGGAGAAACCGCAGGGAGAGAGGGGGGTTTAAAATATGTCCCGATTCAAATAACTTGATCGTAAAACCAAGGCCAGGGGTTCCGACAGCCGGTTCTTCCCATTTTTACACTGCACAGACATTGTGTCAATAATTATAGTCCTATAAATCCCTAATTATGTGTATTTCATATAATCAGTATTACTATAATTGTGTTTATTACTATACATAAAAATGCTTCTATCTGACTGTCTGAAGCAAAATATTTACATCCAACATGTACATGATTTTGACCAATCCCACCAATCTATATAATCATTTAATTAGTTATACTAAAACAAAGTTTTTCTCTTGTCAACTGGTAATTATTTTAAATCAGTTTAACAACAAAACCACATACAATTTTAATCAGGGTATAGCAATATCTCGGGTCGCCGAGTGCTACCACGTGTCCAAATCAAAACAATAGCAAGTATTTACATCGCTTCATTTTCAGTTTCATTTCACAAAGTTCGTTTTACGTGTTTAAATCAAATCGCGTACAAGGCATCAAGAGTTGTCTCCCTAATATTTATCTTTTAACAAGGTAAAAAAAAAAATTACTTATTCTAGTTATTTTTTCCAGACCCCACCTGCTTTCCAGGTAAAAGCGTCGACACTGCTCCTACGTGCGTCGACGTATTAATTACAGAAATAGACATATGAAATGTTAATAAAACCTGGAAAAATATAAACAACATCAATAAAATTGCATAAAATAAGAGAATTTCTGTCAAAAAATGGACGAAAACGCATTTAAACAACAACAAAAACTCACATTTTTTCGATTTGCTTCTGTGTTGATGAATCCTAGGCTGTGTTTGGATATACGCCTAAGGCAGCCTATGGTTACCCATAGGTATCTTTGGGTACCCATGGTTTGATATTTTGATATATAGAATATCAAACCAAAGGTACCTATGGATAACCATAGGCCACCTCTGGCGTATATCCAAACACAGCCCTAGTGATCTTAAAAACGCGGGAAATGACGAGTGAATCACGCGAGACTAGTAACTGGTAAAAAAACCGCGAAAAATTCGAATAGGAATTAGAAAGAGCTTGATCTTTTAGTAAAATACAGATTTGACAAAAATAACGCGAATACGTCATAAAAATTGTTACTTGTTTTAGTAATGCCCCTGACTGATTAAGAAGTCTTTTCAAAAAAGCAGTTCTTTTATTAATCAGGCCCTATTGTCAGTGATTTACAAAAGAAACTAATTAGAAGTATACAGTTAATGAATGTATATTATGAAATAATTTTATTTTTAAATAAAATATTATGCATTTTCAGTATACTGTACTGAAATTTACATTGAATTTTATGAATCTGAATATTAACCGTAATTCACAAACTGGGCATATTCGAACTAATTTGTAAGTATATATAATATGCATGTTACCAAAATGTCAAGCAAGACACCATATTCCAAGCACATCACGATTTACTCTTATAACTATCGGCAAATATGCATTTGTAAAGATATGTATTAAAACAGATGAAATCACACTTTATTGAAAAACAAAAATAGTCAATTTGAGTGTAATCATTTTCTTTTTCCTTGTGTAAAATAGCCAACAATCACTGGTGTTAAACCGATCGTGGAAACTACAGTTGCTACAGTAACTACAGTTACCAAGATCCCAAAATGGCGGAGGTAGAAATCGGTAAAATCGTTTTCTACTAATTTCTCCGTGTAAACGTGATGTTTTTAAGAATTTCTCAGCCGCAAGGTTGATCTATACGATTTTGTTTTGTGTGTGTGTTCTTAATATATATATATATATATATAAATATATATATATATGGTCTCGTTACCAAGATAATAACCATCGAAAATTTAAGGAAGATAATGGTAACTAAAAAAAAAAATTAATCGTAACTTGTGGACAAATAATTGGAAAGATAATCGTAACTGTAGAAAATATTTCAATGATAATATATATAGTAACTGATTTTTATCAAGTACCTCTGCTAACGGAATATTTGATAAAAAGTTTGCGTCGTAATAACAACTAACGCATAAAAAACTTTCAGGATTGAAATACTTTTCAAAAATAAAGTAATTTTGCAATTTTCTTTTATACAACTCTTGGTCTACTTTTCTGGACTGCCACCGTAATGACGCTATATAAGGCCGCTTTGGTTATATCAGAAAACGTTTTTTGAATGGGAATAATTCCCGGAATCTCCTGATCCCGATCCTAATGCCAAATATGACACAACTTGTCTATTGATACTACTTTGTTTCCTCATATGGTACACCATTGCTCAAAGTAATTTCTCACGATACTTTAGTATACTTGTTTAGACGCAGGATCGGGTTTCAGGGCTTGCCAGTTCTGGAAATCGCCCTAATCTTGCTATGTATTCCCCCACAATTTGAGATATTGCTTAGTATGTTGCTCTCTTTGGTGGGTTCAATATTGATTTCATATCTGTTTGGATGTTCATTATATCCATCTGTCTCAACATATCAACCCTTTCCTGTTGGTGTCTTTGGCAATATAGTAAGAACTGTTCTGAAGTTTTTTCTTCATCGCATTCACAATATGGCGAAAGGGATTGACATATTTGGTTTCGGTATTTATTTAATCTCCTGTAACCTGTTCTCAGTTCTGTTAATACTCATTCTATTTGGGAGTTTGGTGTGTTAAATTGTACATCCTTCCCAACAATAGGTACTAGATCGAAAAGTTGTCTCCCAGTTTCACTAATTGTCCATCTACCTTCACATTTCAATTGTGTAGACATGTTAACTGCGCTTCTTACATCTGACATTGTTACGACAATATATTGGTCGTTTAGGCCTCCTTTGTAGCGTATGTTGCCAACTGATCTGCTATCTCGTTCCCGACTATATTAGCATGGCATGGGATCCAAGATAGAGTTGTTAGTATGTCGTGTCTCAAAAGTGTTCCATTTCTTTCTCTAATGTCTGTTATTTTGTTTGAAGATTTCCAGTTTACAGTCAAGATGCCTACAGCAGTCTGGCTATCTGATGGTATTTTGACCTCAGAAAACTGTTCCTTGATTGTTTAATGCAGTGCTCAAGAACCATTTGGATAGCTACAAATTCGGCAAGTAGTATTGATCCTCTACTAGCTACTGGCCTCTCTAAGCTAATGCTTTGGCTATTTCAGGAATTAACTTCTGCCTCATATGGTCCTGGGTTACCCTGACAAGAGCCGTTTGTGAATGCTACAACTGTTGAGTCTGTGCTGTCCCCTAGTAGGCCCTTTACAACCTGTTTACTTTCGACAGTTTGTTTTGCTGTTCTGCTCTTCGAACTACCTAGTAGACTCCAATAGCTTGGTGCTCTAAACAGCATACAATCTGAGCCAGCTTTAAATGTGAACTCTTGTTCTATAAGTTTGATATCAACCTTTGTAGCTTTGAACATGTCGATGGATTTGTTTATTATAGCCTTACGAAATGGTGACTCTTGTTTTTCATATGTATCGTTGTTGGTTAAAAACTGTTCCAGTTGTTTAATTGGTTCTGCTATGTTATGTGATTGAATTTTTTGCCATTTCACGTACTAAGATTTTTTCTATTCTAAGGCCGATAGGTTGTCTATTGGCTCCGACTTCCACTGCCTTTCTACCTGATGTTCCTGGTAGTCCAACGCATAGTGACAAGCTTTTTATTTGTACAGCTTCGGGTGTTTTCATATTGTCTGCAGAATTAAATTGACAGTCTGGGCATGCGTACTCCATAATAGATCTCACTGTGCTGTTGTAGATTTGGATTAGTTTTGTTCTTGATTTTCTTGCCATACCCTGTATATCTCTTATTACATATATTGCGTTATTTGCTCTTTTCTGCATTATGTTGATTAATCTGTCAAATTTTAGCTTCTCATCCAGAGTTACACTGAGTAGCTTTGGTGTAGAACTTACCTTAATTTAAAGGAATTGACAATTAATGTTTTCTGCTCTGTTTCAGTGTTGTCTTAGACATTTTTCACATTTTTCCAGGTTTACATTAATCCTCCATTTTTCAGTCTACTTTAATATTGCTTTGGCATCCTCCGCAGTTTTTTTCTTTTATCTTGTTTATGTTTTTTCCCTTGTGCCATAACGTACCACCATCTACAAACTTGCAGTTCTGTCTTTTGGTGTTATCCATCATATCAGCTATGAAAATGTTAAATAGGGTATGTGATAGTACTGACCCTTATTGCAAGCCGATTTTTGTATCAAACTGTTCTCCAAAGAAATTAGTTAAAATTGAGAATGGAAATGGGGAATGTGTCAAAGAGACAACAACCCGACCATAGAACAGACAACAGCAGAAGGTCACCAACAGGTCTTCAGTTAGCATACATCTGACTGATTGTTCTATTTGTGTGGAAGCTGTTTATCCATAACCAATTTCAATTTATACCGAACGTATGCAGCTTGATCATTAAACAATCATGCCATATTAAGTCAAATGTTTTTTCTAAGTCTACTAGCCATTTCAGTATTTATTGTTCGTCCTCAATGAGACCGTCAACCATTGTTTGACCCATTGGTGGCCTTCGGCTGTTGTCTGCTCTATGGTCGGGTTGTTGTCTCTTTGACACATTCCCCATTTCCATTCTCAATTTTATTTTAAACAAGATTTAGATATAGATGCCGTCCCCGTCACTGATAAGCTACTATTATCATGTCCAAATTACGACTATCTGATAGTCCAGTTACGATTATCACATCACACAAATTTCATGGAGTTACGATTATCTTCCTTAAATTTTCAATAGCTATTATTTTTGTAACGGGGCCATATATGATAATAAGAGAACACACCTACAACAAAACCAATCTAGATCAATCTGCGGCTGAATTATTTTTGAAAACAACACGTTTACACGGAGAAATTAGCAGAAAATGATTTTACCGATTTCTACCTCCGCCATGTTCCGATCGTGTTAACTGCAGTTACCATTATCAGTTTAACACCAGTGAACAATAAACGGCAAATCTCGTTCTTATGACAAAACTATCAAAAATAACATACAAAAGAAGAAACATTGAAAAACTAAAGAAAAGGGACAACACAGAGAAAACAGGGATTCGCACCTTAACCGACAAATCTTTATTATTGACTCTACATCTATACCTCGGTACTACCAACTTATATTATACGATTGTCTAGTTTATTTATATTAAGGTACATGCCCAGTGTGTCCGTTGTACCGGTGTAATTTATATTCATTGATATCAACATAAAAGAGATATATAAATTGCAACCCTTTGGTTGCCGAGAGGTTTCGTCGATGTGTTCGATAACAATCATACAATTCATACCTCAAAGAGGGGTATGATTCTCAATGAAAGAAAATAAAATCACAAAAGGTAAGTTTTTAAATTAAATTCATTACTGAACAGACATCAGTAAATTATTCAATTCAAACTTAGTGAAATTAGGCACACAGAGAAAACAATTTGAATATAATATGATGAGTTCATATCAGGGACAGATTCAGGAAGCGTTGATATGCTAGAAAATGAAACCGTGGTAAATTAATAGGCTGACATCATTACAATGGTTAAAATTTACATATAAAGCTACGACATATGTCGTCTTCAGCTAAGATTCTTCATAACATGCGTTCACTACTATACCCCAATTTTTGACAATTTTACATATTATATCTGTTTGTTTCCCTCACACGTTGGTGTCAATTTAATGGAATTCTATGCGACTGTCATACAATTGAGAGGTTTATCTAGCTATAAAACTAGGTTTAATCCACAATGATCTAAATAAGGAAATGCCTCTACCAAGTCAAGAATATGACAGTTGTTTTCCATTCGTTTGAT